CCCTCCATTATACTGAGGTAACCTTTTAATTAGTTGAAGCTTGCTATGGAATCATTACTTAACATTTTATCAAGACTTTTAAAATATCATTAAATGATTAAAATTTATATCATTGTTCTTTCCAGTTTGAGGGTGCACATACAAAAACAGCAGGTCAAAAAAGTCTGAAAGATCTTTAAAAGGCCTGAGAAAATGGAAAGATATTGTTCTGGTACCCAAAATTCATCAGATTCAATATTGTGTGAGCTTTCCCAGGAAGGGCATTCCAAAGTCAGGACTGCATAATGGAAACCCCCTATCTCTGGTTACCATCTATCTCAGAAAGCAAGCAGGATATAAAGAATGGAATCTGAAGACCATCCAGCCACCTGAGCAGGTTTTGTGTGGGAGGAGGAGGGCTCTAACTCACCAACTAAGAAACTCATTGGGGTAAAGTCACAAGAAGGATGCAGATGTCACAAATAATAAATATCTGCACTGTTTATTAATTTATTAATTTATTTTCAAATGTATTTGGCACTCAATAGCCCAACAAGACTCTCTAAGCATCTAACAATATCAAGATATAAGCCAACAATGCAAATACAAGTACAGGTGGAAGAGGGAAATCTGCTGGAGCAGAGTGAACACTTATAATCTGCTGTTAAAATCAGATCTCAAATAATCTTTAAAAAAGAATGGGCTTTCTCTGGAGCCAAAATGAAAGTAGAGACAGCACCAGGAAGATCTCTTTAGGAAGCCCATTCCAAAGGTTAGGGGCAGCCACCAAGACGCCCCTTCTTCTAAATACCAGTTCTTTTACTTCCACAATCAAATGTGCATGTTAGGCAATGTATGGTACAAATGTAAGTCTTCCTCTCTTACACTTAGAAAATAATTTCTTAAGAACACAATGGATTACACAGTGATTAGGCCTGGGTTATGTTTTCTATTTTAGGAGGTATTTGACTTTTTTTTCTTTTTTTGGTGGGAGAAGTTTCTTAATATTAGCACAGTTCAGCAACAAGAAATGCCTAGGAAAGACGCAGTTTAAAAGGGTTCAGCACCTGGCTAACATGTTTGGGCCAGTCTGTCTCAGTATAAAAAGTGGAGATGTACCAATTACCTACTCTGTCAACATCAATTACTTCAATAAAAGTTCCTGTACTGACCAGGCACTTAAAATAGTCTGTCTTCAATAAAGCAAAGTTGCCTTGAGGGTGTGTCAAAAAGTTTGAAAGAAAAAATGTTACAGCTGTAGTAGTGCCAAAAGTCCTGGAAATCAAAACAACAAAACCAACAAACAAATGGGAAACCAACTGATAATTAATGGAGCAGAGCGCACTAGTATTCCTAAAAAGCAATCAGAATAGCCTGAGTAAATTCTCTTGGTGATGGTGGTTGTTATACTGAATTTTCCTCTTGAAAGGAATGCAAGGCAGCTTACATACCTCTATAGCTCTCGTAACAACAACCTCATGAGGTAGGTTAGGCTGACAGTGTGTGACTGGCCCCAAGTCACCCAGTGGGCTTCATGGCCAAGTGAAAACTAGAACCCAGATCTTCCAAGTCCACAGTCCAACACTTGGACCATCATATCTTTCCTCTTTCAGTGTGTTGCCTAAAGCATGGTCTAAGACAACTTGCATAAAGGCAGCACTCCAAAATAAAGCAAGAAAAACAGAATGCAAGCTAGAAAAGAATCTAAAAGACCATTTTAATCTATATAAAGTATGTATTCAAGATTATTACCTCTAAATTACTATCAAGGTGCAGGGAAACTTGAATTTTCAAATGGAAGAATAAAGAGGCATAAAGTAAAGAACTATACACAAGGTAGCTAGCCACAGGCAGAAGTTTTTCCATGTAGAATCAAACATATGGAACAGACACCATGAAAATCCATGTAAGGGAACAATTAGCATAAACAGTTTTGAAAATAACTTGGAAAGCTATCAAGAAGGGAAAATACTGTGGACTACATCTGCTAAGGCAGAAGTGGGCAGGGCCCTAGACATACTTCTCTTGGCCTGCCTACGTCCTTAAGTGACCTGTGTTTTTATGTGTATGTCTTCACCCAGTGTATAGGCTATTCAAGGTCAGAACAGCACTATATTAGCACAATTCCCTCTAGCAAGATAAGAGCCTGACATTGCTAAGCCTCACTGAAGAGCAGGGACCTTACTGTAGCTTAAATGGCAAAAAGCAACAAGCAAAACTGTTTTACTCAAATTGTAAAGGCCTAGTTCTTCAGAGAACTGTTGCTATCCTTTCCCAGCTCTAGAAAGTTCTGCCAATTAAATATAGTTACAATTATTCATTACAAAAGTTTAATATTGCTGTGACTGATGTAATCCTTCTACTGATACAATAAATGGCATTAAACATCCATGGGTAACAGAACTGATCATTATTCTTGGGTTATATGCAGTTGCTTCTTCCCAGGGTAAAAGCAAGTATTTTATATGACACACTACAATAAAAGCTATGATCATGTAAGGTATAATATGGAACCTGAACTGAACATCAACTTGAAACAAAGATGTCTGAATAAATTAATCAGTCATTTGTCTTGGGGTTTAAGATTTTTCTCAAAAGTGGTATGGGCATTTAAAATAGAAAGGCAATACAATGGCCTTATTCAGATGTTAAGAATAAGCCACGATTCAGTATTTAATGGACAAACTGCAGCAAGTCTTGGACATGAGTATACCCTGTTATGCATTTGTGTGGCCACAAGAAGTTCAGAAGCTCTAGAAGCTCTTAGTTGGGCCTGTAACCTATCGATATGGCCCCCAGCAGAGACTAAATGACCCAGAAGGCTTCTTGCATGCACTGGGAATTTTCAGCTATTAGAGCTGGTGAAAGCCCTGATTGATCTGTAGAATAGGGAGATAGCTCAGGATGCTGACAAGATTGCTTTGAAATGCTCTCTCAGGCTCCTTTATCTGAGGAGCTCAGAGCAATAAATTGCATAATTAGATGGCCAGAGCAATGATGGAGGACAAAACCAATTAAACATTGAGCCTGTTTAAAGGAATTTCCCTGCTTCTTCCCTGTACAAAGAGAAAGTGGATGATCTCATGGGAGAGCCTATGATTTCTCATGTTCCAATGCTCTTTGACATTATCTAGCCTCAGGTGGAAATGATAGAAGGCTATCTTTCCCCACTCTCCTACACAGTTCTGAAAATGGCCTGTAAAGCTGGTTTTATGTTAGCTGGCTTTTGATGAATTTCTAAGTTTTATTCTGGTCTCTCTCTTTTTTTTTTTTTAGTACAGGGCTGGGGAGCCTTAGTCACACAGCCAGCTCTCCTGGTGTCCCAATCTGGTCCTCCAGGGTTTGTCAGAGGGCCATGCTTCCTTCAACTGGCTCCCTTTCCTAGACTGTTAATCCCTTTGATGGTTTCCTAGTTTTTATACAGGGTTGTTGCTGCTGTTGTTGTTGGTTTTTTTTGGTAATTCTAAAAGGCTGAAGTAAAGGCTTTTAGAATTACAAAGTCTCATAAGGCTTAGTTACTAGCAGTAACAGCAGTCAGCTATAATACACCAGTAGTTTTTGTATGCTTGGTCCCTTCTGCAATTGTTCCCACCCCTTTGATCCCATTCACCAGTGGAATGCACATCCTGAATATTTTTTGGGCTGAAAGAAGCTCCCCGTCCCTCTTTTAAATCATGCTTTGCACTTATATTGACTATTTTAAAATTGTGCTTCACCTTAGGGGCCATTCTGGGGAGAAAAGTAATTTATAAATACATTAACAGACATACCATGCCTTTTTAGTAAAGCTTTCCCATCTGTCAGTCGAATGGCCTCACTGTCTTGGCATATAGGAAAAAAAGCAACAGCCCCCATTATCCAGACAAATGTGCTGAATAGAAACTGCAGGTCCAAACATCTGGTTATTATTTTGTATCTACTTGCTACAATATAACCTATGTGACACAAACCATGTTACTTTAGGGGCTGCGAACACTGTTTTAAGTTAGATATGCAGAAATGTGCCATATGAGGAGACACAACAGAGTTGTCAACATTTCCCTAAAAATCCTGAAAAACAATCATTTAAGCTGAAAGAACTACAAGAGGTCCATACAGGTGGCTCCACAGTAGGAAGGTTCTAAGCTTCCCTGCTATTTTAAGAACCATGCAGACACTGCAATTTAAGATGGGAAGCTTCAATCGTTTTGCAGACATGTGCTACAGCTTTTTGTGGGCAGGCCAGGCTGATCTATTTTGGCAAGTACAGCCAAGTCTGATTCAGAACTTGGGTATGGAAAAGCTTAGAGCTGCCCAACTTCTAGATATAACATGGAGAGTGGAAAAGGTAGTCATGAGAGGTTTCCATGGGAAGGGCCACTTGAATGGAGGGGTGCATAATGGTCTGTTCAATTATTTGGCCAGTTCTGCATGTCCATTGATCAAACAATTGAAAAGTACCGCAAAATAATCCAGCCTGATCTTTAGTTGATGCAGAGAATCCATTTATTATAGCATTCCTCTAATTTATATGTAATGAAGGAGAGTCAACCACCTTCCAGGGTACTCTGTTCCATAGCTAAACTGTCTGTACCATCAGGAAGTTCTCAGCACGAGGGGCTGTTTCTTCCAATTTGAATGTGTTCATTCAGGTCCCACCCTATGGAACAACAGAATGCACATTTGCCTTATCAGCTGTGCCTAGGTGGTGAGCCTCTCTCAGCCTGAGGGTCAAATTCCATTTAGGAGGGGTATGGAATGGAGCATTCCAGTGCATGGTGCACCTGAAGGCAAAAGTGGGGAGGCCCCAATCACCAGCATATAGTAGCTGAAGGCTCTTACTGCCAGTACTTAATACCTTTTAAATGGAAAACAAACCACAGAAGTCAGAAAACCACCAAAGGATGAGTTGGGGAAAGGCAATCTGGGGATCTTCAGAGGACTGGATTGGTACCCCAGGTAGGCTGGATTTGACCTTTGGGCTTGAGGCTCAAAGCTTGAGGCTTTGTGACGTTATTATCAAATAGCAGAAGGGTTACTACTGTAACACCTCTTCTTCAAGCTATACATACTCAGTTCCCTCAACCTTTCCTATTGGGACTCATTATCTTTATTGTCCTCCTCTGAACACAGTTCCAGTGTGTCAATACTCTTAATTCACAGTGTTCAGAATTTAATGCTATGAGGTTTGACCAAAACAGATTAGAATGGAACCATAACTTCTTAAGGTCTGGTCTTGTCATCTTTTGCTGAGGCTGCCTAGAACTGCATTTACATTTTCAGTTGCTACATTGCGCAGCTGACTTTAGTTTGGAGTCTCCTAAAATTCTTGGATTTGTTTTATATGTACTGCTACAGCAAAACTTTCCATAAACAGAACTTTATATCTGCTGAAATTCATTTACATAGTTCACCAGTTACAAAGATGAAGCTGTTCAAGGGATCTGAGTTGATCTGATTCCTTGATTAGCTCCTCATGACAATGTGAACAGAGCACAGCAAAACCACAGGATGATGTCTGCTTCTCTATGGAAGTTGGAACACTACTGAAGAATGCCTCAGCAAAAAGCTTTGAGAGCTCCCGTTTAACATACATTTGTTCCCTGCTAGATTAGTAGACTGGTAAACTGTGGTTCAGTGGATGCTTATAAAGAAGCAGACTCAAAGTCACAAATCAGGACATTATGAAATGCAGACAGAAATTCTGACTGAAGTAGGCAATTGCCAAATTGTGCAAGGCTCTTGTGAATTTGTTATAAGGCGGCTCATTATACTTAAAACTGGCTGCAGCAATGGTGACTTTCTGAATAGCAAGATATCACATCTGGGCAGGGCTTGGACTCATACCAAGAACAAAATAAAAGAAGGCTTAGAGGAGTTAACCAGAAATCATGTTTGTCGAAAGGGCTGCACAATTAACCTTTTTCATACTCATTACAATCAGTATGAGAAATTCTAATTAGATAATTTAAAACTACTGGTACTCACTTCAGTAATTAGTGCCTGGTTTTGTGCTATTTTGGCAGGTGGTGGTAAGGGTGAGAGAGCAATATGGCAATGGCTGAGGCTTTCAGTTTGGGAACAGGCAATTTGATGCCCCAATCACACTACAACTGTGATAAGTACACATTTAAGGGTATAAATTGGCAAATCTAAACAAGACCCTTTGGAGTAGCATTGAACTCTATGGCAGTCAGTAATTTTGACATACTTTTTTCCAGCAGGAGTCATATTTTGTTCTAGCAGAGACATAATTTGTGTGGGTTGGGCAGTCTTTAAGTGTTGCTTCAGTGTGATTTCCCAGCAATCTCTTTTCCCGCCCCAAAACATTTTGCAAGTGTACCCAAAACACCAAAGTGAAGCTAATTAGCTTTTGATCTGTATGCATTCAGAGAACCTTAAGAAACAACTTATTGTATTATTTACTTCAAAAGAAGTGAAAAGCTGATTATTCATATGGGGAGCATTCAACTTATGTCTAATAGGATGCTACTGCTACTGCATTGATATAGTCATCCTAGTTTAGTATCTTCAACTTTCAAACCTGTGACAAGCTTGTGCTGCTGCCAACAGTTCCTGTTTAAGAGCCATAGGCCTGTGGTGGCCATTCTGTATGAGTCTGGGTATAGACCAATGGAAATTGCTGAAGACAGGATGGGAAACAGGCCAGGAATATGGGACAGAATTGGCAAGTGCATCAGATTGTACAGTGATGGCTCCAACCACTTTCAGTTGGGGTTGAGGACTTGGGAAAAAGATGACCATACAGTCCATCAAGGGTTGTACTGAGTTTGGCCACTCAACATTGAATTGTTCCAAGGTTTGTTCCGCAAATTAGGTTTAATGTACATTTATTAACTACAGGAGGATGTGCTGTGTCACAGGATGGCTTGAAAGAGCAGATCTTACTGCCAACAGCAAAATTAGCAATACTTGAAAGGAATGAGTTTTCAGAAAATTGGAATTAGATGTTGGAAACAAGTCAGTGTACACTGATACTCAAACTGAACAAAATCACTTCCATATTCACTAAACCATCTTAAACACAGTACAACATTGTAATAATGGTAATACAGTAATAATAAAGTAGCTACAGGTAATGGAGAGAGAGAAAGAATCTGTATGTATATGTGTATGTATATAGTGTTAAAAAAACAATTCTTCAAGCACTTTACAACATTCTTGAGGTAATATTAAACCTAACATTAACTGATGACGACAGACCTGGTGGTAGAGTCAGAGTTTTATTGTGCTGCTGGAGCGGGGGAGTTAGCACTGGACTCACTTTCTTTAAGTAGGCCTTGAGGGTTCTTTGTATCACCATTTCCTTTCTCTCACCATAAATGGAATTGTAGCAACTGAGAATCTGCTAAAGAAATGCTAAAGAAAGCCCAAATGCTAAAGAAAGACCAAAGGAGTACTATGCACCCTACACATGCCCCAAAATACACTGACTTGGGTATGCTTGAGCTGATGCCCAGAACAAAAAGCTGTGAATACTGTATCTCTAGGGAACTAGGCTGCCACAGATGATACGTTGCCAAATGCATCGCATAGTTACCTAGGGATATTGCATGGTTCTTTGGAGACAGAGATTCACTAGAGATAGTCACAGCTATCTCTAGCAAAAAAACTGTAACTACCTTTAAAGAAAAGCTGTGACTATCTTTAGGGAACTATGCAGCCACTGATGACACTTGCCAAATGTTTTATGTAGTTCCCTAGAGATATTCATGGCTTTTCAGTAGAGATGTTCATATTGGATTTATGACAGTCTGTACGTTTGTAAACATGGGTTGTTCATAACCCGGGAACGAACTGTACTATTATAAAACTGCCAAATACATTGGGGAACAACTGAAATCAGACTTTTCAAGAGAGAGTACTGCACCCATGTTTCTATAGTCTTTGACACTTCTGAATTTTCGTAAAACTGTTTCTATTCTAAGGTTGTTAAAGCCTGTGAAGATTACATAGACATTCTGAGCTTGATCCAGAATCTACTTTCCATGGATAGAAGGGTTTCTTCTGCAGAATGGGGGAGGAATGTATTTCCACAGCTGCTGCAATTCCTTATGTTCTTTGAAAATCTGCTCTGGACTGTTGGGAGATTCTCCAGAAGAGCACTGGAGGTATGCTAGGGACTGCAGGATGAGGAGGTAAAATCGGCATAGTTTGCCCCCACCCCCCACTGCATTCCTTCTAGTGTCGCAAACAGAATTCTATTCTTAGAGACTGGTCTCACTGGTGAGAAGAAACATGGTGTCAGGATCAGGGCCTGAATAACTCTGCAAATGCCCACAGAACCAGGAGCGTCTTTGTGAGCCCTTGCAAGAAGCACCCGTGGAGCAATTATGCAGTGCAGCTGTAGACCCTGAAGACCATAAAAGGCTTCCCTGCACTGCTGCTCCTTGCCACAGCAACACAAATGCCTTGGTGACTTCTTGTGCTCTGGCCCCTGCCTTGATCAAGCCCTGCTCCAGTTTGTTTCTGCCTTGCTCAAGTCTGTTCCTGCCTCCCTCCAGCCAGCGCCCTTCCTGCTCTTCCTGTCTTTCCTCTCAGTATACCCTGCCTTGCTCCAGCCTGCTACAACCCTCGCGTCAACGTCTCTTTGGTAAACTGACTCTGGAACTGTGCTCTGACTCACTTGCTCTCTGCGCATGCCAACCTGGACTGCTTTCATCCATGCCTTTGACCTGGACCCACTGATTTTCCCTAAGACTCTGGTGTTAGTGAGCTCTGGACTCAGCTTGAGCTTGTACCCTGGACCCAGCATTCTGCCCCTTCTTGCTGCAGCCCATGGCCCGGCCCTGACACATGGCATTTAACCCATTATTTTTATAGTGTACAATCTGTCAATTTCACAGGAAGCCAATTTCAGGAAAGCTAATATTCTGAAACATCATTGCATCTCCATGAAGGCAGAAGGTAGGAAAGACTCATCCATCTCAATGTCCCATCATTTCATCCACCTCAAGAAGCCCCGAGTTGCACTAATGTTGCATATGAAAAACAGTGTGAACAAAACATAGCGGCCCCAGGGTCAAATATTAAGGCAGTCTATGTACTCAGTTTTCAACAGCCACATTAATTCAAAAGAGAAAGTAAACTGAATATATACGTAAAATAAGGCAACAGATGTCTAAGACACAATAAGTGAAATTAGACAATAATGCAGGGATTTTTAAAAAGGCAGTGTTGGTTTACAAAGATCAGGGCAGACTGATCGAAGATATCTGTTTCCATGCTTGTAGTTTTGGTATTTCAGCCAAACTGTAACCCTAACCCTAATCCCTCCCTTGTTGTCCATCAGTGGAATACAGTTCCTGAAGAGCTTCTCTGGAATAGAATTAGGTCCTTGGGTTGAATGGAGTTCTAGACCTCTGCTTGCCATGTTGCTCTGCTTTCTACAGAACTGAACATCAGAAGTGTTTCTGTTCAGTTATAACTATAAATTATAACAAAACCCTCAACGCTTCATAATAACTTCTCAATTCTACTGTATAAGAAAAAGACAATTTCAAAGGCCAATCAATGCTTAGTCAATAGCACTTCTATCACTGTTACATATTTGATTCATTGAATTTAAATATGTGATAATCTGATAATTCATAATCAAACTCATATTAATGCCTCACAAAATGTCATTCTGATGAGGAGATTTGCAGCTCCATTCTTGGTAACACATTTAGTAAAAAGAAAATATCCTGAATTCTTTGTGCTTCTCTTTTCTGACACAGAGGCTTAGATTTTCCCACATTATATTATCCTTTATGGAAGTGAATGAAAGAGATACTGAATTAAAATTGTAACATGGGAAACGGCCATGAGAGAAAGAGAGATCTATGTTCAAAGTTGGAAACTATTTCAGTGTTTTTAAGTATAAACCATTTTCTAACTGCCTTCATCCTTTTCTCTCTCCCAGTTTAAGAACATCTTGAAACCTCCCCTAAATTGCTTTTCAGCTACTGTTTGCTCTCCTACCACACCATATGGTAGGGATGGGGAATTTGTGGCCTTCCAGATGTGACCCAATCAGACTCAGATAACATGGCCAATGGTCATGGATGATAGGAGTTGGAGTCTAGCAACATCCAAAGCAGCACAGGTTTCCCATCCCTGCCATGTATCATTTATTACTCTCTTTTCGCATGACCTTTACCATGCTATGCATACACACCAGAAGGTATTTCAGTCTCCAGAATTGTCAACTCATAAGATATTACCAAGATTAGAGCCCTCTGTCATAAACATTTTAATGAGCATTTAAAAAGTGATGTCAATTGTAACCAAAGGTTTTGAAAACAGTATAAGCACAATGTTACAGATGGCAGTGCTTTTTTTAAAAAGAGGTATTTTTGTGAGTTCCCTCTCTTGTGCGTTAGTCAAACCAAATTAATATGTCTATCAGCTTTAGCATTTATCAATATAGAAACAGTAAAACTAGAATTATTTAGTCATGCATATGCACATATGGAGATAGCCTATAATAAGTTCTCAAGCTCCATAAGTTTTTTTTGAAATACTATACTATATGTTTCTTGAGAAAGCCAGCTGTCAGAATATTTTTTGTTTAACTTTAATAGAGAAAAATTCATGTTTTAGCCTTTAGGAGCCAGAATATTATTTTTATTGGTCTGGGAGGAAGGCCAGAAGGAATCTGTGTGATTTAAGATGGACTTCTAAGTTCAAAATGTTTGTAGTATTATGGGCAAAGTTAAAAAAACAACATGCACTACCAAACCAAAAAGATATGGACTTTAAATCTTAGACTTCTCATATCTTTAAAAATTAAGAAAACTGATGGAAAAAAATATCAAGTCATGTGTAAATCTACCTTTGAATTAAGTATTTATAAAAACATGGCATATGTTATATAAATGCAAACAGCCCCTAAGCCAGTGCTAGTATCTAGATGCTTTCACACAGTTACCTTCAGAGAGAAGTTTGATGAACAAAGAGAAAAACAAGGTGAACATGGCAAATACTGGTGGCAGGAGTCTTTTATAGCATATTGTAATCCTTGCGTACTTTGCATTTATGTAATCTAGTTATACAGTGGAAGAAAAACTGAAATTGCTTACTGTGTATTCCTGCTTTCCTTGAGTCCTGTAGGACACTGCAATTTGTTTTCGGAGCAGACTCCTACCCTCGACATGAAAAAGGAGGGGCGTCTGTGCATACCCCCAGATCAGAAGAGTAGAAAGGACTACTACACCCTCCAAATTTTAGGTCAGTTGGCCACAGAGTGCAAGCGAAAAGAAGAATGGGCTTCCTATCTATTGTTATCAAGACATTTCTGACTTAGCCAATCTTATAAATGAATGACCCCAAAATGTCTAGTTCTTGACAATCCTGCTCAGTTTTTGTAAATGTAGAACTGTGGCTCCCTTTACAGAATCAATCCATCTCATAGAACAAGAAGAGAAAAACCAGCTATCTTCAACTTTCCCTAGCACAACTGTCTTCTCCAATGAACCCTGCCTTGTTGTGATGTGTCTGATGTACAACAACTTCAGTTTCATCATTTTTGCTCCCACGGAAAGTTCTGGCTTGATTCAGGCTCCCTGTCTTCCCCATATTTCAGGTAAGTGTACAAGCCTAGACATGTGACCATAGGGTGCTTGAAACACTTCCTGTGAATCAAGAATATGAATACAAATCAAATCAGGTGTCGACAACCTAGTTTCTTTTACATGCTTTACACTATAATCCACGCAGCTTCCAACCAGCATAGCCAATGAGAGATCATGGGAGTTATGACCCAATATCTAGAGGGTACTAGCTTGCTGTGTGATAAATAGCTCCCTTTTCTTTGCTGACTCATAGTAAGCTTTCCAGTTTGCTTCAAGAAGTATAAGACCAATGCCATCCAAGCATGGGTGCCCAGGAATCAAGGTCCTACCCACCTTCCAAATACTGTATTATCTTTGGAGTAGGACTTGCTTTGCAGTGTCTGCTGAGTATATGCACAAATGCCTGGGTTCCTACTTCACAGACCTCATTCAGTGTGAGTAGTTTTAGAATGCTTCCAATGTCATGTAGGGGCTCAGAAGCTAATGCAATGCTTTCCCTCAGCTGCCTGAAAATGACAGACTAGAGACTCTCATGCTCTTTGAGCTGGCATGACCCAAACCAGCACCCAGAGCTATGTTTTCCCAGTGGTTTCCTGTCTAGGTAGAAATGGAGAGCTCTCTATACACGTAGTGTTTATCATTCTTTCTCCGAAGTTGTCTCAGCTTGGGGAATAACATGGGCAGAGATCTCTTGGATCCCATTAAAAACTGTTCATAGGGTGAAGGATCAGTGTAAAGAACTACCTTGTGTGCATGTAAGACAAAGCTGGGCGTAAACCGGCACATTCCCTTTTATGGTACACATTTATGGTACACATAAAAGGCTGTTGTGAGAGAAGAAAATCGTAACACAGGAATAGCAGAGGAGAAAGAGTAGCCACTCTTTCCCAATCCTTGTGGGAAACAGGAAGATTGAACAATGCAAATGTGGTATTATGGGATGGATGGGAATTTTCTTTTTTCCTTTGTGGGTCTTTGTCAGCAAACAATGTATTAGGATTCGCAGTTACTGGAGATAATTTACATCGGGGATGGGCAATTTTGCAGGCTATGCTCCTTTTGCCACTGTCTCAGTAAATGAAGAGACAGCAAAAGAAGAAAATTCTGGCAAGGGCTATCACCAGTAGGAACACAGTCTTTAACGGCAAGTTCTTGAGAGAACATAAAGACACTTATTTAGAGGGAGTGCCCATCATCACCCTGGAAACCAGGTTCATGTTGAAGAAAAGAACCTGTGCTCCACTGGGAGGCTACATGTTAAACCTACAGGCATGAGGGTGATTTGATAGAAAAATACACCCACTTGCTTTACACACCAGGAAGTTATTGAATGCTGCCACCTGCCTCTTGAACATGCAGGTGCTCAAGGCTTTAGCAAGTTCTACCTGTTAAAAATCATAATAATTATCCATTTTTTTCCTCATTCCCTCACCCTTGGATCTGTCTGACTGAACTACCAACCTCATGTAGAACCTCCATATATTCCCCTACAAGCTTCTACTGGATTCCTGTCAATGATAAGAAGTTAAGCACCCTTTCTCAGCAACCCATCTCCTCTGAGTAACCCAGCTCTACCTTTTAGTCTCCAGGCTGTCTACGAAGATATCTCTAGGCAAGAATCCACTGTCAAACCCCGCTGAAGCCTCCAGAACTTCTGGACAGATAATTGTCAAAAGGTTTGGGAATGCAGACAATCTCAGGCTGTCATGTATGTGATCACTCCCAGATTCATCAGCTAAGTGGGAAACAGGTCCTCTTGTGTATTCTCTCCCTCATCTTGCAGAAAATGGAAGCTGTGAGAACAATAGTAAAACGTGGTTCTTTCTTGCAATGGCC